TCCGAACAAACTTCGGTACATCAAAATGCATAAACTCATAATATAACTGTCATCGAAACCTTAAGCGTGCGGACCCTACGGGTTCGAGAACAATGTAGACATGACCGAGACATGTCTCCGGTCAATAACCAATAGCGGAACCTGGATGCTCATATTGGCTCCTACATATTCTACGAAGATCTTTTATCGGTCAGACCGCATAACAACATACGTTGTTCCCTTTGTCATCGGTATGTTACTTGCCCGAGATTCGATCGTCGGTATCTCAATACCTAGTTCAATCTCGTTACCGGCAAGTCTCTTTACTCGTTCTGTAATACATCATCTCACAACTAACTCATTAGTTGCAATGCTTGCAAGGCTTATGTGATGTGCATTATCGAGAGGGCCCAGAGATACCTCTCCGACAATCGGAGTGACAAATCCTAATCTCGAAGTACGCCAACCCAACATGTACCTTTGGAGACACCTGTAGAGCACCTTTATAATCACCCAGTTACGTTGTGACGTTTGGTAGCACACAAAGTGTTCCTCCGGCAAACGGGAGTTGCATAATCTCATAGTCATAGGAACATGTATAAGTCATGAAGAAAGCAATAGCAACATACTAAACGATCGGGTGCTAAGCTAATGGAATGGGTCATGTCAATCAGATCATTCATCTAATGTGATCCCGTTAATCAAATAACAACTCTTTGTCCATGGTTAGGAAACATAACCATCTTTGATTAACGAGCTAGTCAAGTAGAGGCATACTAGTGACACTCTGTTTGTTTATGTATTCACACATGTATTATGTTTCCGGTTAATACAATTCTAGCATGAATAATAAACATTTATCATGATATAAGGAAATAAATAATAACTTTATTATTGCCTCTAGGGAATATTTCCTTCAAGGCCCCCTCCCCCTCCTCCACTCCTTTATATATGGGGGAGGGGGCACCCCATAGACACAAGTTGATCATTGATCTTTAGCCGTGTGCGGTGCCCACCTCCATCTTAATCCACCTCAATAATATCGTAGCGGTGCTTAGGCGAAGCCCTGTTCTGGTAGCAACATCATCACCGTCATCACGCCGTCATGCTGACGAAGCTCTCCCTCGAAGCTCTACTGGATCGTGAGTTCGCGGGACGTCATCGAGCCGAACGTGTGCAGATCGCGGAGGTGTCGTATCTTCGGTAGTAGATCGGTCGATCGTGGAGACATACGACTACATCAACCGCGTTGTCATAATGCTTCCGCTTATGGTCTATGAGGGTACATAGACAATACTCTCCCCTCTCGTTGCTATGCATCACCATGATCTTGCGTGTGCATAGGAAATTTTTAAAATTACTGCGTTACCCAACACTAAGTAAATGGCTTTTTAAACTAGTAAATGAAGAGGGAATATGGTATAATTTACTTAGGAGGAAATTAAACACATTAAGGTGCGCTAGAATGGTGGCCAACTAGCTACGCCATGTGGCACATGCTGGTTGGTCACAGTGAGAAAGTTTTCTTTAGAGTTTTTAAAATGGTAGGGAGATTTCTTTTTTGAGAAAAGTTTTTCTAGGTTTTTTCTTTTTTTTCCTTTTAAGATGATTGCGATGTCCACGTGACACAAGAATATTTTTTAAAAATTTCGATATGATGGTGAGGTGCGCATAGCTTCTTCTCAAGCGGCCCGCAATGGCGGGCCCCAACCACTAGTACATTAAAAACAAGACTACAACCCAAATGGAGAAGAAACCAGGTGAAACTCAGTTTGAACTAGTTTAATGAAAGTTATAGATTTGTTCTTAGGTATATTATTTCTGGTGTTCGTTGTACTGCTATGATTGAAGATGGATAGATCAAAAGTTTTCTTGCAAAAAAAAAACCTCCATGTACAGAGCTGTTATTGATGTTGGACATGTGGAACAACAAGACACTATGGAAACTAAAAATGTTGTTAAAAATCAAGATCTTTATGTGGTATTTAATCAAGGGAGTTGTGTTGACTAAAGATAATCTAACTAAACAAAACTTGGAATGGCATTTAAAATGTAGTTTATGCAGTAACTTAGAAACTATTCATCACTTCTTCTTTGACTGTTGCTATGCTAGATTCATTTGTAGACTTATTTACTTCAAGTTTGGCATAAAACCTCCTAGAAATGTCAATCGTATGTTTGGATCTTGGCTTAATGGCTTTGACATGAGACTAAAAAATTCACATCTTAGTAGGTGCATCAACCATGTTTTGGGCTATCTTTCTAACTCGTGATGACATTGTTTTTGACAAATCTCCTATGAAAACATGCATGCAGGTGCTCTACAGGGGCACTCCCTGGTTACGCTTCTGGGCACAACTATTGAGGCGTGACGAAGGTAGATACTTGATCCCCAAGGTATGACGTGATCCAAATAAGCAGGTCGTAGCCTGCCAGGGTGAAGGTCGAATACTTTTCATTTCCATTATCTAAAATCGAGAATTCAAGCCAATCCTGGTTGTTGCTTGGGTTCTTCGAGCATCAAGCTCTAGCGACGGCTGGGTGAAAGGGTTGAGGATGAAGACTAGAGGTGGTGGCGATCCAATTGCCGCCCAAGTCGCCCATGCGACGGTTGAGTCAAATTTAGAGAGAGTCTTGTATTTACTAATTGGAGACTCCTAACTTTGAGGCCCCCACATTAATCAGGCTAAAATCCTAAAAATTCTCAAAAAAAAAAAGCAAAACATCCAACCATTTGTTTTGATGTCCGGAAATCTTAACCATTGATCAAGAACTAGACAAATTCGTCAAGAGATTCGATGCACATGGAAACATTTTACTGTGAAACAACAGTAGTCCTAATTTTGAGCAACGGATGGGCTCTTCATAAAGTGACATCGTAGTTTTTTTCGGGAAAAACTTTCAATCTATTCATCTTCAATTATGGTAGTACAACGAGCACTCGAAATAATGAAAATTACATCAAGATCCGTGAACCACTTAGCGACGATTACAATCACTGAAACGAGCCGAAGACGAAAGAGACGTTGTAGTTGGTAATGACCTCTTGTTAGCTCATTGATTGCTTGACTATTAACTTATGATGCATACTTATAATTCCGAAGTGATAGCTATACCTTGAAGCAGTGGGATCCTCCAAAGCGGAATGCAGTGCAAACATAAATATTTATAATTCCGAAGTGATAGCTCGGTATTGCTTGAAATAAACATTATAGCTACAACTTAAATATAATTTGTATTTAGAGTTGGATGTTGATAACAGACCACCAATACCAATACTGCAGGAAAATAAAGAGAAGCAAGGACGCTGGTTTCTCCGCGCGGATCGGTGACCCTATCCCAACAAATCCCGACTCAATCCGCAACAGTCTTGCACACATCCTGCAACAAACCTAGACTCGACCAACAACTTGAACCCGACTTACTCAAAACGATGCGCCACGAACAGACTCGGCGCGACACACACAGACTCGCTCGCTCATGCCTGGGACTCACCCATGGCGTGATTATTCTAGCGCAGGGCACGTGATGGTTTCAGTTGAGCATCAACATCCTTTGGCCGCCGGCTGGCTAGCAGCATGCGGGCCAGCAGGGGCACAAGGGTTCGCCATTGGCATCCGTCAGGACGGCGGTGGTTCCGGGCTGCTCTTGTGGTCCGACGACGAGCCTTGCGTCCACCGGTAAGCCCGGTTTCGTGAAGAGACTATTGTGCTCTGCGAGCAGCCGTCGAGCGTCCTGGTGGTGCGGAGACGCATCGGCGGCGGCCATCAGGTGCCCTAGGGCCAGGACCAGCAGGAACACGGCGGCCGTCGTCTTGAGAACCGGTGCAGAAGCCATGGGAGCTGCTTGCTAGCCTGAGATCGGCAGGAGGTCAGGCTATAGGTAAAGGTATTGATCGGAGGTGAGAGGTATGACTAAATGGTATCACCGTTTATATAGAGAGATAATGTACTAGGTGATGACAACGGTTGAGGACAAAAAGGCCATAAACCTGCACTCACGAATGACGTATACAATATTGTCGCCTGCAACAGCCAAGGTCAGTCCAGATCAGTCTCTCTGCTTCTTCAAGGTTGAGACCAGGAACATTATCATGGATATGCCCTCGGTAAAATCGCCAGGCCGAGGTGGCTTTGATGGCCTTTAATTTGGAGTACAAAACTAGTACGTACGTGCTGCTACTCCTGGTCCGGCATCTCTTACCCCAGAATCTCTCCATGTGCTGCTCCAGGAGGTCTCACAGCTGCCGACACATGCCCCGGGAAAAGAGAGTACATTCTACTCCCTCGGTTCCTAAATGTAAGTCTTTTTAGCGATTCCAATAAAAGACTACATACGAATGTATATAGACATGTTTTAGAGTGTTGATTTACTCATTTTGCTCCGTATATAGTCACTTATTAAAATCTCTAAAAAGACTTGTATTTAGAAACGGAGGGAGTAGTATACAATCAAGCGCGCAACCAGTTTAGATTCCAGAATACTACCATGCAAAAAGGAGGATGATTTCGTGATAAACCATCCTGGTTTAGTCTAGAACCATGTTGATTGATTGATTATTCAACATTGGTGTTGCCGTATCATAACTTCACAGGGTACAGTTAGAAGTGGTACCGCTGACTAACTCTTAATAATAATCTACGTACACATTTTGGCTCCAAGAGAGAACAACATGCCTATCCATTCGCCTGCTTGCCTTTCCTGCTTAGATCCGGCAACTACGTCAGGCAAGGTCAGCTCTTGCATGGGCAATCATGCGTTGATTGATGCTTCACCACCTCTTTTATCCGGTGGCAAAGCATTTCTTCTCCCAAACGCAAAGTCACCAATGGAGATGCCACCTTTTCAAGAACCACCTGTATGGAGCCCCTGACTGGAGCAGCATAACGATGATGGTTTCTCGAACTTCCCCGATTCTCGCATTTGCAGGGCGTGCCAACTCTCACACTGTCAGATGAATATATCTTCACATGATCACAGATGTACGACAAGACAAAGGGACAAGAACCCGGTGATGTCTGTCAAGCGACCTTGGCCGGCTCCGGCTCTGGTTTCACCAGGTGCTCCAGGTTCATGATCCTTACGGGCTTCCCCAGCTTGGACTTGTCCTCCATCCTAGCGGTTTCTAGCGCCTTTGCGCACACAGGGAAGCTCATTTCGTCCCAGGAATCCAGGATTATGCCTGACCCCAGGCACACACTGTCACGGTAGAACGCTGCAAACTGGCCAGCTGCTAAACCCTGGTCGTCTTCGGACAGACGCACCGCCAAAACGTCTCCGTTCTCTTCGGTTTGCTCTTTTGTCACGGTGCAATCATGGAAATCAGGACTGTGCCGTACCTGGTATTGAAAGTAGCATCAATGTCAGATAACTGACATAATAAAGTACAGCACATGACAAAAGCAGAGCCACGGCTGATCTAAATGCTAAATAGATACAAGTACAAAAAAGGAGATAGATCAAGCAAGAGATATGTGGCATCGGTTAGATTGAAAGCTGCAGTGGTAGGTTCCTATAATCACAAATTAGAAATTAAAGACCATTGGTCATGGTAGAACTGACCGGTTTCAGAATTGCCTAACTACCCGAGGATCAACAGGATTTATGAACCACTCTCCTATCCCAGCACCTAAACGAGTCCAAGTATACAGCTGGTACCATGTGCGTGTTTTGAAGGGGGGAAATGGACTGATGATGATTATTTAACCCTTGCAGATGGTACAAACGTCAAAATTCAAATATGCTATGCTACCACAAGGGCTAATTGTGTAACTCTGGTACCTTGCATCTGAGGAATTCATTGTCTGCTGGTCCAGAATCGCTAAACCAGTTTAGCGATCCAACACGAAACGTTCGCCTCCTCTTATCCAGTGAATAGTAATTCCTTGATACAAAAACCACATTATTTTGCACATCTTTCTCCACAACATACCTGCGTAAGGAACAAGTCATTTGATGAATCTATGGATAAATAGATATGTGCTACATGAGGGCAGATCTTCCTTGAACTGCATAATACTTCAGGCAATACACATTTAATTTAGCTGATGTTATTGCACCAAAAAAGAGGCTAGTAAACAGTGCGTACCAAGGTCCTCCAGAAAGTCGCAAACCTTGTCGCTGACCAATCGTATAGAACCAAAACCCACGGTGTGTCCCTAGGTAATCTCCAGTTTCAGCCTCAAGAAGTATACCCTCCATTTCTCCTATATGTCTTTGAACAAACTCGCTAAATTTGACCTAGAAAGAGAGACTTTTTAAGCTTAAAATAAGACAACGCAAGGAGAAAGGACAGAACTATATTTGGCACAAAACATGTGCATTATTAACAACTATGTTAAAGCAATTACCTTTCCAAGAAAACATATCCCCTGGGAATCCTTTCTATATTGGTTAGGAAGGCCCATCTGAACAGCCAGACTGCGAACTTCATCCTACAAAAGATGACTCAATTTACAAAAAATACACCGGCAGCTCCTGAAAAAACTTAACTATCCTTATCTGATAAAATATGTCACCTTTGTTATACACCCCAGTGGAAAAAGAAGTCTTCTAAGCTGGGGCTGAGAGAGATGTGAGAGGAAATAAGTTTGATCCTTGATCTGAAACAAGAATCAGAGTCTGAAAGGTGGTTTCGACTAACCAATATTTATTTAAACAAAAGAACCATCTATTTGTTTCACTGTATCACAATTTTCCTTCCAGGATGAATAATAGAACTCAATTGACATCAAATTCAATAACACTGAAGCTAAGCAAGCTATTTTAAAGCACCTCGTCTTTCGAAAGTTGGAGCACCGATGGCCCTTCAGCATTCTCAACGGGTGGATGGACTACATGTGCATAATGTCCTGAGGCTATGTAATCAAACCCCAAGTTTTCAATTGCTTCTAGGAAAGCTCCTGCAGAAAATGAGTGAAAAGAATAAGCACATGAAGACAGCTCAAAAATTATACCTCGATGCACAATCAAATTTCAGTAATAGAAGCGCGCACATCCATACCAAACTTTATCCTTGTGTTGCAAAGAACATCAGGGTTCGGTGTGCGTCCGTTGCGGTACTCATTAATCATGTGAGATACCTAGATATATAAAATCCATGATAGTTTCTCAGAATGCAGAACAACATATGGGATATCTGCGAGAGGAACGGGTGCAAAAGGTTTGAAATGAAGCTTACCACATGGTTCCAGTACTCATCAGATAGATGTACCACCTCTAATGGTACGTCAATCTACAAAAGACGGCCATTAGATCAGTCAGTCCATGCAGCCAGAGCTAACATATGCTGCACACTGGCTATTCAATGAAACAGCATGCACCGGATGAATTTTCTGGAATATACCTTGTCACACACGGCCTGTGCATACTTCAAATCGTCGTCCCACGGGCACTCGGACCAGAAGTTCCTGAAATCTTCCTACAGATTAACCACACAGAGCTTATTAAGCGATCCCGTGGTGTAGCATCGCACAGCATGGCAACAGGGGAGTGTGTACGGACCTGGAACCAAATCTTGAGGTAGAAGGCGGTGCAGCTGTGCCCGGCTGCGTGGAGGAGGCGGAGCGCGACGCTGCTGTCGACCCCGCCGCTCACCAGCACCGCCACCCGCAGCGGCGCCCTCCTCGCTGCCGCGCACCGGATGAGGTGCTCCTCGCTGATCTCAACCTCCCCGGGCGCGGGCGCGGGCGCGCTGGGCGGGGAGGCTGCGAGCGGCGCTGCGGACGAGAGGGCGCGGAACGGCCGCGGCGGCCGGCGGGGGCGGGGGAGGGGTTTAGGGCCCGGGAGGAGGGGGCTCCGGAGGAGCGGACGGAGGGTGGAGACGACGCGCAGCATGGGTGGCGGCGGCGGCGGCCGGCCGGCCGGCGTGGCGGCAAGAGGTATCGGCCGCTGTACTGGATTGGGTTTTTCGGCTAGAGCGTCGAGAGTTTCGTGTCGTTTCAGAGCTTCAGACTTGAGCTCACGAAGGGGGAGGACGAATGCGTATTTTGGGCTGCCCGGAAAATACGTCTACCCGTGTGGTTTACACACTTAGAAAAGCGCGTTAGTTTGTCAATATCAAAGTGCCCCTTGAGTTCCATAATCGATTGATCAAAATACAAATGGAGATCAAATGAGGTTCGAGGTATTGTCATAGGAATCTTGCAAAGTTGGGTTGCTTCCCCGTAGTCTTTATACTTCTCCACACGGTTTGTGCACCGAAAAAGCGAAACGCCTCGTGTAAAAGAACTCATATGTTGCTAAGAACATCTTGATATTGTCCAGAGTCCAAACTGGTAGGGTGTTGTTGCAAATAAGCAAAGAAATGAACAAAGTCGGAGCTATTGATGTCGATGAGGAAAAGTTTTCCACTTGTAAAATGAGCATCTCTTTAAAGAGACATGGGTACTGTTGCTTATAGATTTGTAGTCATCATGTAATTAAATTGTCCACCTTCTAAATGCGCAAATGTACCCGTGTAAAAGAAATATCCATTTTAGAAGAGGCATCCCAAGCAGACATGGTGGATTAAATGATAAATAGTCGGACTACGACACTAGTCCTGTGAAAATAAGGTGGAGCCGTGTACGTGTGTTGCCACGAAATCACTCAACTAGCTAAGTTTACATCATACTTGTTATTTTGGCATTTGCAGGTTTTGATTTCTGTCAGCAAACTAGTATGTAGAGTTGTTACTGAATAATCAACATAACTTTCTTTTTCCCTGCATAAAACATCGAAACCCACTAAAATATATTTAGATAGCTTGAATTAGTTAGGTGGATAACTGTGGACAGAGCGAAGGGAGATAAGAGTGCTTCTTTGTGACCACTAGTCAATATGTAAGTGCAATACACGTTAATTTGGAAGTATATTAAGTGCATGCGGATATTAAGTAGGATATTATTTACGTGTTATTATGTGATTAGAACTATGGGGGTGTTTGTTTCAAGGATTTTTTTGTGTAAGGACTAGAAAAAGTCCATGTTAGAGACTTTTTTATCAAACGGGAGAAACTTTTTAGGGACTAAAATAGGCATCTGGGACTAAATGAAGAAGACTCTTAAGGAAAATCTTTTTAAGACTTTTCCAACAATGCCCCTCCATACACCCATTGGCCCGCCACCCCATGGTGTTGTTTAATTTTTATTTTTGTATATACTAACGGCAACATGGTCATTTAATAATCTCTAGGAAGGGACTAGAAACTTTTTAGTCTCTGGAAACAAACAGGGAAGGACTTTTTAGGGACTAGAGACTTTTTAGTTGGGACTAGAAAAAGTCCTAAGACTAAAGAACCAAACACCACCTATATTTGGTATGTAATTAACTGCGCGCTAAACGTGTTGAGCGCTCGACATTGAAGCAGTCTAGGTTAGGGGTGGGCATATTACCCGATGACCGAACTCCCGAACCAAAAGAACCGGGGCCGAAGCCGAATAGACCGAACCCGATAATTACGGTCATAAGTTCGGTCCTGTAGTCTAGAAAATCAAATTAATTTCAGGTATTTCGGTTTCAGACATCAGGTACCCGAACTGACCCCAAAAAACCGAACATGGGCCAATACTGTAGAAAGTCTCAGCCCATTATCTAAGTTGGGCCATAACCATTTGATGACCACGAGTCCAGGACCCCACGGCCTTGTGCTCAAAAGAAAAACGACACCAAAAAAAAAAGAAAAAAAAAGAAAAACGACACCACAACCGTTCAGTCGCACGTGCCTCATCCCCACGACCGCTCTGTCCCTCCCTTCGGCCATAACCCTAGCCGTCGCCGCTCCTAGTAGCCAGCGTCGATGGTCCGGCAGCCAACAACCGGAAAGTGCCAACGGAGGCCGAGCTCTAGTGAGCTCGTTTTCAAATTTTATTTTTTTGGAGTGTGAAAAATTCCAAATTTATTTTTTAAACACACATGCACATGTATGCTATGTATATGCAAAATTTTACAGCATTATACGTTTACGTGTGGCGTAGAGAAAAAGGACAAATACACATTTTTAATGGGCCTTTTATTTTTGTTATTGGGCCAGAAATTTGTTATTTTTGTACAGCCTACAAATCACAGCATTTTTCGACGAAACTTAACACGTTCTTGCGGAATACATATATGTTTTCATGTAATTTTTTTCAGATTTTTTTCAAACTTTTAAATACACTTTTTGATTTTTTTCAAAAGATCGAGCTCACTGGAGCTCGGCCTCCAAAAATCCGCACTTAGCCAACAACCCGCTACCTCCCCTCCGCCTCCCTCCTTCCATGCGACCTGCGCCGTAACAGCTAATAGCCGGCGGCAGATCCGGCCAACATCGGGCGACATCTCCTTCCCTTCCCTCCCTCCTCCTCCTCCTCCTCCTCTCTCTCTCGCTCTCTCTCTCTCTCTATGTGACCTTGATTTCTTAGCTGTAGATTGTTGTTGCTCGGTATTAACCGATGACCCGAACCGAATTCTCAATGGACCGAATTCTTGGTTACTGTTTTTCATAAGCACCGATCGGTTAGCATATTTAGAAAACCGAAATGTTTTAAAACCCGAGGAACCGAACCGATCGGTTCGGTTAAACCAAACGCCCAGGCCTCTAGGTCGTTGGATTGACATGATTTGATGGCCGAGATTAATTGAATCCGCCCTTTGGATCTTTTTATATTGGTATAGATATAGATATATATGCATTATTTTTTAACATCAAAGTGACCGATACATGACATAATGATATAAGAGGCAAGGAACATCACGCTAATGCCATCTTGTCTATCCCGCCTTTTTAGTATGGCCTTCGTTAAGCCTTTGTTGTTAGGCTCTTGTGGCCGCGCTATTGGTTGTTCTTCCTCGCATGGGGCACAATATATTCGCTTCCCAACCTTTTTGTTAGCGGTGGAGCTAGTACTTCAAATATCACACGTATTAAAATGGCCAAGTACTTAACTATAGCCTGTTAAGAATTACAAAAGCACATAACATCTCGAAACAAATCTTTTAAATATAAACACTAAGATCAGAAAAACAAAAAAGAACCACGACAATAAAAAACCAGATATGATGCATCACCTACATAACCTTAAAATTCATGCTAATTAATTAACAAGGCATAACGTCGCTCATGCAGCTGCAAATCCACAGCAAATAATTAACCCGACACAATGAATCACACATGTAAATGTCCATAAAATGTAAATAAAAGTACAAGAGGCAGAATAACAAATGAGCAGACAATCGATTTACCATGTGAAAACGTAGCCATCGAAAGGACATCAATGGCTGTAAAAATTCCATTTTCTCTTCTAAAATACCCAAATGTGTAAAAAAAAATCAGACGGCCAAGATTGGTGCACGGTGAAATCTCTCTTTGGTCGACAGCAAACGAGGCCAAGAGGATCCAATTCCCTTTGAAAATACAAGAGGATCCAATTCCCCATCATTTTCTATCCCTCGAAATAAAAAAAACCCCACCGTTTATTACACGTGCCAACGGGATACTTAAACGGAAAGCAGCGGCTTCCCCACTGACCGCCGCATCCTAAAACCCTCGCCCCATGTCGCTCTCCACCCTCAACCACCACCCCGCCGCCGCCGCCGCCGCCGGGCGGGGGAGGTCCTTCTCCCCGGCCGCCCCGGCGCCGTCGTCGGTGCGCCTGCCCGGGAGACAGGCCCCCGCCCCCGCCGCCGCGTCCGCGCTCGCGGTGGAGGCGGACCCCGCCGCCGACAGGGTCTCGTCGCTGAGCCAGGTCTCCGGCGTGCTCGGGTCGCAGTGGGGCGACGAGGGGAAGGGGAAGCTCGTCGACGTGCTCGCCCCCCGCTTCGACATCGTCGCGCGTTGCCAGGTGAGGAGATGCGGCTCGGTCTTTGTCGTGTGCTCTGGTTTGAGTCCTGTGCCAATCATTGTCGATTGAAGCTGCTTGGCAGCACCACTGCGCGTTCCAGTTGAAATTTTTGATATCGTATACGCTTGTAGGATGGCGTGGTAAGAGTTGTTTTGGTGGATTGATGCCTGATCCGGATGTTAGAGTAATCTGCGTGTAGAATTCCCCTTCCCAGGGCCTGTTTGGAAGAGGTGTGTTTCTCAGTAGAGTTTTGGTACCGAAGCCCGTACAAGAAAAAATACCCCCATCCCCAAAGATGTTAAATCTGGGATCGCTTTGGTTAAAAAATATGTATAGTGGAGCTCATGCACAAAGGGGATAAAATTGTAAATCTTTTAGCTCGATTTTGTTTAATATTGGGTTGCTTATATGATGATATTTCTTCTTTTTACATTTTGTGGATCCCGCCTGGAACATTGGGCTGGTAGTTACAAAAAATTCTGGATATTTGATCCTGATAGCCACAGTGAACTGTCAAATTTGTGGCCTTCTGAATCTGGTAGGATGAAAGATGGACGTTAATTTCATGTCCAGTGGCTCCTAAATGAAATGAATTGACTCGACATCTGGCCGTAAACGGTAGTGTGGCGATAAAAGCAGTAAAGCATGATTACCACTTTGTTTTGGTTGGTAAACAATCTGATTTGTTCGACTCACTTAGGCTTGAGGGTTTACCATAATCTGCATCAGACCTCTGTACTTTGGTTGTTTTGCATACTCTTTCGATTTTTGTACCAGTAGTGTATCGCTTGTATTGTAGCAATCTTTTAACTTGCAGTTTGTTTATAATAAGAATAATATGCTATTACTACTGCTCCTAAAAGGTCATTTCTGCATTTTTGTGAGTTTAATATGGTTAGCCATTGTCATTCCTTTGATTAGTTTAGATTTCCCTTTCCTGGAATTTTCTTTGATGAATAATTTCTGAATTTTGAAGATTAACCTTTTGTATCTGCAATTATCATTTAGTGTTTATTTGTGAATTAAATTCTTGGGATGTAGCATCGGTACTTAATTTGGTCATTACCAGTTGGCCACTTCTCTTGAGTTTAGTAGCTTGTTTATCTGAGTTCCTACTTTGTTAACAGGGTGGAGCAAATGCTGGACACACCATCTACAACTCTGAAGGCAAGAAATTTGCCCTTCATCTTGTTCCATCTGGTATTCTCCATGAAGGAACACTCTGTGTTGTTGGCAACGGAGCGGTGATCCATGTTCCAGGGTTCTTTGGCGAAATTGATGGTCTTCAATCAAATGGAGTCAGTTGTGATGGAAGAATACTGGTGTCTGACAGGGCTCATTTGCTCTTTGATCTGCATCAGACTGTAGATGGACTTAGGGAAGCCGAGCTTGCAAATTCCTTCATAGGAACGACTAAGAGAGGCATTGGACCTTGTTATTCCAGCAAGGTCACTCGAAATGGGCTGCGAGTTTGTGATCTAAGGCACATGGACACTTTTGGGGATAAGCTTGATGTTTTATTCGAAGATGCTGCTGCGAGGTTTGAAGGCTTCAAGTACAGCAAAGGCATGCTCAAGGAAGAGGTTGAGAGGTACAAGAGGTTTGCAGAGCGTTTGGAGCCCTTCATTGCTGACACTGTTCATGTGTTGAATGAATCCATCCGACAGAAGAAGAAAATTCTGGTTGAAGGTGGTCAGGCAACTATGCTGGATATCGATTTTGGAACTTATCCATTTGTGACTTCTTCTAGCCCTTCCGCTGGTGGAATTTGCACTGGCCTTGGGATTGCCCCTAGGGTTATTGGCGACCTGATTGGAGTTGTAAGTCAAAAGTAGTGTAATCCAGCCCTCATCTATGATATATTGCTTGTCTAACTCACTATTTTACATGCAGGTAAAAGCTTACACAACAAGGGTTGGCTCTGGCCCTTTCCCAACTGAACTGCTTGGAGAGGAAGGTGATGTTCTTAGGAAGGCCGGAATGGAATTTGGAACGACTACAGGTCGCCCAAGACGTTGTGGCTGGCTTGACATCGTTGCACTGAAATACTGCTGTGACATCAATGGGTTTTCCTCTCTAAATCTAACAAAACTTGATGTTCTGTCCGGGTTACCAGAAATTAAGCTGGGTGTTTCTTATAATCAAATGGATGGAGAGAAACTACAATCCTTCCCAGGGGATCTTGACACCCTGGAGCAAGTACAGGTAAGTGTCATAGTTTGTTCATTGTGTTTACATGTCTGAGTAGTACATTTGCATAATTTATAATTATGTTGTATGTCAAAACTGTTGTTCTTTCTCTGGTTGTAAGATGTGATTTAGTTGCTAATGTACTGGCTTTAGTTCTGTGGTATTGTAAACCGATGTCATTACCAGTTTGGTGATAACAACTTACACTTAAATGTGAGGATAGACACAATTCATCTCTCATATGCTTCGTCTTGTGTTTCAGGTCAACTATGAGGTGCTTCCTGGGTGGGACAGTGACATATCTTCTGTCCGAAGTTACAGTGAACTCCCCCAAGCTGCCCGCCGTTACGTGGAGAGGATAGAAGAGCTCGCCGGTGTTCCAGTCCACTACATTGGTGTCGGGCCTGGGAGGGATGCTCTGATATACAAGTAAAGGGCAAACTCGATTTGGTACTATTGTATCGGACGAAATAATTCAGTCTTAACTAGGCCGTTGTGAGCATTGCTGTGTCAGCACACCCTTGATTGCCAATCGTAGCGGGTAATACGATCGACAAGCTACTGGCGGGCGGGGTGATGTAATACCTGCAATAATGATTTCCGGGAAATGTCCCGATATATCACCATAAGGATGCAGTGTTAGAGTTTGGTGGTAACATTTTGTCTTTCGACTCCACCAATGGTTTGGTGGTATTATCACAATTCACCGTCATATTTTGCGCTGATTATGAATGCTGAATGCTTTCTTGTGGGTAAGTCTGATGTAAGTTTTCACCACGTTTATTTCGCTCGTTGGGGGCGTCTTTAGCTCCTTATGAGTTGTGATCGCATCGATCTTCTTGCTTTGGATAAAATCCTTTGACAGTGAGTGATTTCACAATGACGTTGATGCTATCTGGATAAGATTTTTTTGAGAAGTCCAATGTATGTTGGTCTCATTTTCCTGGTTATGGCAATAGCTCATGCGCGCCAAGTTTATTGTGCTTATGCTATTACATGATTCTTCAGATGAAACAGATCTAAACCTTCATGCCGAGCTACATGAAGAACCTGGGAGCTAAACCTCGTAGATAATCCATCAGAGATCGAAGGTAGTAAATCATCTAAGCAACGCTTAAGCATGGGCTAATTCAGAGCCTATAAGAATATAAGATCAGATGTCCCATACGGGGATGGGCACGCAGCCGAACTGGTCGAGATCGTCCATGTGGAACGCGCCGTTCACGCCCAGCGCGCCGCCGCCGCCGTGGCCTCCTGCCGCGATGTCGCTCATGTCGGCCGCCAGCGCGTCCCAGTCGAACTCTGCGGCATTGCTGTTGCCGCCCCCGAACCCGAACGCGTCCGCCACCTCGCCGTCGTCCTCGCCGACGCCCTGAGGCCCATGATGCTTGCCGGCCGCGCCGCCGTCGTCCTCCCCGAGCACGCCGATCTGCTGCAGGAACTCCTTGAGGTCGAGCTGGGGCCTGCCGCCCCCGAAGCCGTCGCACGGCGGCGCGCTCTCGGCCGCGGCGGTCATCGCCATGGAGTGGTCCAGCTGGGACTGGAAGCAGGACGCGGAGGGCGGCATGGCGCCGGTGGTCACCGTGGAGGAAGGGGACGAGGCGGCCGGAGGAGGCGGCGGCGGGGGAGGGGTCCTCCTGGACTGCTGCTGCGGCGGCTTGGCCGGCGAGGAGGAGGAGCTCTTGAGCTCCTGCAGCCTCTGGTGGATGACGTGCACGTTGTGCTGCGCGTTGAGGTTGAGGAGGCCGCAGGCGGGCACGGCGGCATGGCCCCTGGCGCCGCCGGAGGCGACCCCGGCCGCGGCGGCCGGGAGCCACCTGATCATGCGCTGCTGCGCGGTGGCGCCGGCGGCGGCGCGGAGGTGGGGCAGGTTGAGGAATGCGTCGGGGCCGTAGAGCCTGCGCGCGGCCTCGTCGTAGGCGAGCGCGGCCTCCTCGGCGGTGGCGAAGGAGCCGAGCCAGATGCGCGCGCGCTTGTTGGGCTCGCGGATCTCCGCCACCCACTTGCCCCACGTCCGCTGGCGCACGCCCCGGTACTCGCACGCCGCGTTCTGCGGCCCGCCCTTGCCCCGCGTCGGCCCCTTCTTCCACGAGCGCTTCCGCACGTAGCTCTCCATGAACGACGGCCTCGGCTCCTGCATGCAGCACGACGGACGACGTGCGATGGATCAGAACGAGCCCAATATATCCAGGTAGCTCGCGCGCGCGGCTGGATGGATGGAAGAAATGCGCGGAACTTACGTGCGTGGGAGCGGGGGAATTCGAAGTTTGAAGTTGGAGCGAGGTTTTGGTTTTGGAGTGTGGGGTGTAGTAGTGGAGTGGGTGAGGAGAGTGTGACGACGGAGCTGATCGAGGGCGCGGGGGATAAGTAGGGTGAGATGCATGGCATGAGGTTTAAATGGTGTCACGGCCGGGAGATCGATGAATGGATGCATGTTGGCACGGCCGTGTCTCGCTTTTGCGAGACCTGTGAGCGTGAGTGAGCTCCCGGCGCATGTGACCGTTAGGGCATCTCTTGGATGCACGATGTAGGACGCAAAACAAAAAGGAAATGGTATTCTAATTAGATTTTCTTCTTCTTCTTCTTCTTCTTCTTCTTACGTAGTTGGGCATGATTAAGTTTAGGTTTTAAAAAATGGGCAAAATACTAGAGTACTACTTCCTCCGTTCTGAATTATATAAAATCTTTGTGGTATTTCAACATGAACTACATACGGACTGAGAAAACACGTCTATATACATCTGATTCGAAAAAAGGTTAGAACATCTTATAATTCGAAACAGAGGGAATAATTTTAGAGGATCCACAAAAGTTAGAACATGAATTCAAAATATGTCGTTGTCGCCGCCATCATCGTCGTCTACGTTGCGCGGATACTTCGGAAAGCGCGCGTATCCAGCCGGATACTGCCCCGATACGGCCTGATACGTATCCCGTAAGTATCCCTTGATTTTTTGATTTTAAAAAAGAAAATAATGTTTGATACTCCTAGGATACTTCTACGATACTTTTTGGATACCTGGAACCCATCGTTTGATTGAAATCCCCTCAATAGTAAAGGCACACCTTTTGCAGATACCCAACATGGGCGTGAGTTCATGCCAAAACATGACTACCAATGTTCTTATTCAATTGAAAGGTGAGCAAAAGAGAGTCGATGCACTGATTGGAACAAGAAATCCGGGAAAATCCCACTATCAATTAATGAAAGTGGACCAAGTGCAAGAAAACAAAGGAAATAATCCTATTGAGGCAAGCTTTGACTTAGAAGCTCTATGTTGTTTTCAATATTTTTAATAATTAATATATGTAATATCTATCTATAAACGTATCGCCGTATTCATGTTTTCAGAAAATTGACGTATCAGGCGTATCCCCATATCGCGCATCCGATACGTATCCAAGTATCAGTGCAATGTAGATCGTCGTCGTCGTGCCAGTTGATACGTCTCCAACGTATCTATAATTTTTTATTGTTCCATACTATTATATTATCAACCTTGGATGTTTTATATGCATTTATATGATATTTTATATGATTTTTGGGACTAACCTATTAACCCAGAGCCCGGTGTCAATTTCTGTTTTTTCCTTGTTTTAGAGTATCGCGGAAAAGGAAAATCAAACGGAGTCCAATTGACCTGAAACTTCACGGAACTTATTTTTAGAAGGAAAGCAACCCGGGAGACTTGGAGTCCACGTAAGGGAAGCAACGAGGAAGCCACGAGGCAGGGGGGCGCGCCCTCCACCCTCGTAGGCCCTCGTGGCTCCCCTGACGTACTTCTTCCTCCTATATATCTCCATATACCCTAAAACGATCGGGGAGCACAATAGATCAAGAGTTCCGCCGTCAGAAGCCTCCGTAGCCACCGAAAGCCAATCTAGACCCGTTCCGGCACCCTGCCGGAGGGGGCAATCCCTCTCCGGTGGTCATCTTCATCATCCCGGTGCTCTACATGGCGAGGAGGGAGTAGTTCTCCCTCGGGGCTGAGGGTATGTACCAGTAGCTATGTGTTTGATCTCTCTCTCTCTCTCTCTCTCTCTCTCTCTCGTGTTCTTGAGGTGATACGATCTTGATGTATCGCGAGCTTTGCTATTTTATTTGGATCCTATGATATTTCTTCCCCCCTCTACTCTCTTGTAATGGATTGAGTTTCCCCTTTGAAGTTATCTTATCGGATTGAGTCTTTAAAGATTTGAGAACACTTGATGTATGTCTTGCCGTGCGTATCTGTGGTGACAATGGGATACCACGTGATTCACTTGATGTATGTTTTGGTGATCAACTTGCGGGTTTCGCCCATGAACCTATGCATAGGGGTTGGCACACGTTTTCGTCGTGATTCTCCGGTAGAAACTTTGGGGCACTCTTTGAGGTTCTATGTGTTGGTTGAATAGATGAATCTGAGATTGTGTGATGCATATCGTATAATCATACCCACGGATACTTGAGGTGACATTAGAGTTTTGGTTGATTTGTGTCTTAAGGTGTTATTCTAGTACGAACTCTAGGGCTGTTTGTGACACTTATAGGAATAGCCCAACGGATTGATTGGAAAGAATAACTTTGAGGTGGTTTCGTACCCTATCATAATCTCTTCGTTCGTTCTCCGCTATTAGTGACTTTGGAGTGACTCTTTGTTGCATGTTGAGGGATAGTTATGTGATCCAATTATGTTATTATTGTTGAGGGAACTTGCACTAGCGAAAGTATGAACCCTAGGCCTTGTTTCAATACATTGCAATACCATTTGTGCTCACTTTTATCATTAGTTACCTTGCTGTTTTTATATTTTCAGATTACAAAAACCATTATCTACTATCCGTATTGCACTTGTATCACCATTTCTTCGCCGAACTAGTGCACCTATAGAATTTACCATTGCATTGGGTGTGTTGGGGACACAAGAGACTCTTTGTTATTTGGTTGCAGGGTTGCTTGAGAGAGACCATCTTCATCCTACGCCTCCTACGGATTGATAAACCTTAGGTCATCCACTTGAGGAAAATTTGCTACTGTCCTACAAACCTCTGCACTTGGAGGCCCAACAACATCTACAAGAAGAAGGTTGTGTAGTAGACATCACCAGTCGTGAAAGCAGGCCAGTTACACGACATCTGTCCTCGACAACAGCATCATGCTCGCGGCACAAACGCTTGGCCTCCCCCGCCACCTTATGTTGCTCCTTTTCGGCCTTCAGGCGGAGCTCGCGCTCCGACTCGGCAAGTCCAGATACGGAGGTCCTGAGTCGGCAGCGACATCCGTCTCCTTGGTGGTTTTGGACCGATTGAGGGCCTAGGCCTCTGCGAGCGCGGGTCCTCCATGATGTGTAGCGGCGACATCCACATCTTCGTGAACACCGCCAAGTGTCGCGCACAGCGCCACTCTACCCCGGTGAGGTATTGTCAGCCCCCCAACAAGGACGAGGATGTGTTGTGTGACCTGCTGCTACCGAGGTAGTACTCGAGGCGGGTGCGCGGCTATGCCTGCTCTACCTTCACGACAGACAACATCCGGTCTGATGCCACAGCTCCACACCGGGGATGGCACCGCGGAGGTCCCTGGTCGACCAACAAGCTCTGCAGCGCGACCCGAGTTACTGGTCGAACTTGTTGTCTATCATCACAGGCTGAAGCGGTTGGTCCTCATCCCCCCTCCGAGAGCTTGACCCAGTCGAGTGAAGGAAATATGCCCTAGAGGCAATAATAAAGTTATTATTTATTTCCTTATTTCATGATAAATGTTTATTATTCATGCTATAATTGTATTAACCGGAAACATAATACATGTGTGAATACATAGACAAACAGAGTGTCACTAGTATGCCTCTACTTGACTAGCTCGTTAATCAAAGATGGTTATGTTTCCTAACCATAGACAAAGAGTTGTTATTTGATTAACGGGATCACATCATTAGGAGAATGATGTGATTGACTTGACCCATTCCGTTAGCTTAGCACTCGATCGTTTAGTATGTTGCTATTGCTTTCTTCATGACTTATACATGTTCCTGTGACTATGAGATTATGCAACTCCCGTTTACCGGAGGAACACTTTGTGTGCTACCAAACGTCACAACGTAACTGGGTGATTATAAAGGAGCTCTACAGGTGTCTCCAAAGGTACATGTTGGGTTGGCGTATTTCGAGATTAGGATTTGTCACTCCGATTATCGGAGAGGTATCTCTGGGCCCTCTTGGTAATGCACATCACATAAGCCTTGCAAGCATTGCAACTAATGAGTTAGTTGTGAGATGATGTATTACGAAACGAGTAAAGAGACTTGCCGGTAACGAGATTGAACTAGGTATTGAGATACCAACAATCGAATCTCGGGCAAGTAACATACCGATGACAAAGGGAACAACGCATGTTGTTATGCGTTCTGACCGATAAAGATCTTCGTAGAATATGTAGGAGCCAATATGGGCATCCAGGTTCCGCTATTGGTTATTGACCGGAGACATGTCTCGGTAATGTCTACATTGTTCTCGAACCCGTAGGGTCCGCACGCTTAAGGTTTCGATGACAGTTATATTATGAGTTTATGAGTTTTGATGTACCGAAGTTAGTTCGGAGTCCCGGATGTGATCACGGACATAACGAGGAGTCTCGAAATGGTCGAGACATAAAGATTGATATATTGGACGACTATATCCGGACACCGGAAGTGTTCCGGGTGATTTCAGAGAAAACTGGAGTACCGGAGGGTTACCGGAACCCCCCGGGAGAAGTAATGGGCCATATGGGCCTTAGTGGAGAGAGAGAAGGGCAGCCAAGGTGGGCCGCGCGCCTCCTCCCCCCTAGTCTGAATTGGACTAGGAGAG